CCAGGAGTAGAGAAGAAGATTTTCAAAGAAATAATGCACTTTCACTATATGATCTATATAGCCCCACCCTAGCACCAGAACCCCTGACCCTGGGGCCATGAATTTCACAATTTTTGTAGAGTCACTCTTGCTTATCATAACTATGTATTCAATTTGTTTCAATAGTACCCAGGAGCTGAGAAGAAGATTTTCAAAGAAATAATGCACTTTCACTATATGATCTATATAGCCCCGCCCTAGCACCAGAACCCCTGACCCTGGGGCCATGAATTAATTTCACAATTTTGGTAGAGTCACCCTTGCTTATCATAACTATGTATTCAATTTGTTTCAATAATACCCAGGAGTAGAGAAGAAGATTTTCAAAGAAATAATGCACTTTCACTATATGATCTATATAGCCCCACCCTGGGGCCAGAACCCCTGACCCTGGGGCCATGAATTTCACAATTTTGGAAGAAGCATCCTTGCTTATCATAACTATGTACTTAGTTACTTTATTTAATACCCAGGAGCACAGAAGAAGATTTTCAAAGAATTAATGCATTTTCACTATAGAATCAATAGAGCCCCATCCTAACACCAGAACCCCTGACCCTGGGGCCATGAATTTCACAAATTTGGAAGAGGCACTCTTGCTCATCATAACTATGTACTTAGTTACTTTATTTAATACCCAGGAGCAGAGAAGAAGATTTTCAAAGAAATAATGCACTTTCACTATATGATCTATATATCCCCACCCTGGGGCCAGAACCCCTGACCCTGGGGCCATGAATTTCACAATTTTGGAAGAGGCACACTTGCTCATCATAACTATGTACTTAGTTACTTTATTTAATACCCAGGAGCACAGAAGAAGATTTTCAAAGAATTAATGCATTTTCACTATAGAATCAATAGAGCCCCATCCTAACACCAGAACCCCTGACCCTGGGGCCATGAATTTCACAATTTTGGAAATGGCACTCTTGCTCATCATAACTATGTACTTAGTTACTTTATTTAATACCCAGGAGCAGAGAAGAAGATTTTCAAAGAAATAATGCACTTTCACTATATGATCTATATAGCCCCACCCTGGGGCCAGAACCCCTGACCCTGGGGCCATGAATTTCACAATTTTGGAAGAAGCACTCTTGCTCATCATAACTATGTACTTAGTTACTTTATTTAATACCCAGGAGCACAGAAGAAGATTTTCAAAGAATTAATGCATTTTCACTATAGAATCAATAGAGCCCCACCCTAACACCAGAACCCCTGACCCTGGGGCCATGAATTTCACAATTTTGGAAGAGGCACTCTTGCTCATCATAACTATGTACTTAGTCACTTTATTTAATACCCAGGAGCAGAGAAGAAGATTTTCAAAGAAATAATGCACTTTCACTATATCATCTATATAGCCCCACCCTGGGGCCAGAACCCTTGACCCTGGGACCAAGAATTTCACAATTTTTGAAGAGGCACTCTTGCTCATCATAACTATGTACTTAGTTACTTTATTTAATACCCAGGAGCACAGAAGAAGATTTTCAAAGAATTAATGCATTTTCACTATAGAATCAATAGAGCCCCACCCTAACACCAGAACCCCTGACCCTGGGGCCATGAATTTCACAATTTTGGAAATGGCACTCTTGCTCATCATAACTATGTACTTAGTTACTTTATTTAATACCCAGGAGCAGAGAAGAAGATTTTCAAAGAAATAATGCACTTTCACTATATGATCTATATAGCCCCACCCTGGGGCCAGAACCCCTGACCCTGGGGCCATGAATTTCACAATTTTGGTAGAGGGCTCACTGCTTATTACAATGATGCCAACAGTTTGACTGCTTGATATCCTGGAGTAAAGAAGAAGATTTTTAAAGATTGCATTATTTTTGGTGGTTTTAGCCCCACCCCTCAGGCCCCAGGGGGGCAGGGACCATGAAATTCACAGTTTTTGTTCCCCTTCACCCATAGATGCTATATGCCAAATTTGGTTGAAATTGGTTAAGCGGTTTCAGAGAAGAAGCTAAAAATGTTCAAATGTTAACACACGACGCACGCTGACGGACGAGAACGGATAGCAATAGGTCACCTGAGTGACTCAGGTGACCTAAAAAGTCAAAGGTCATTGGGAAGGTCAAGGTAAAAACAAGAGGCCCAAGGGCCTTGAATCACTCTTCTGATAAACTGTACAACCTATTACTTCTATTTGAAGCCTCTAAGTATCCTGTATATTTAGATACAGATTTGAAATTCCAAAGGTAGGTCATCATGACCTATATTTTAGATGAAACACTCTGAGAACCCAAGATGATTCTAAGCCAATTAGTACCTGAGAGTAGGTCAAGGTGACCTACTTATCACTTGTCATTCTCTGAGGACCCATGATGCATCAACTAAGTTTGATAATTCTAAACCAATTAATACCCAAAATATTTTTTAAAATTATAACCATAAAATTTCACAAGTAGGTCACGGTGAACTACTTTTCAGTTGTCGTATTCCAAGGACCCAAGATGCATCAACTGACAAAGTTTGATGATTCTAAGCCAATTAGTACCTGAAATATTTAATTAAAGCCATAAATTTTCAAAAGTAGGTCATGGTGACCTACTTTTCAGTTGTCATACTCCAAAGACCCAAGATGCATCAACTGACAAAGTTTGATTATTCTAAGCCAATTAGTACCCGAATATTTAATTAAAGTCATATAAATTGAAAAGTAGGTCACGGTGACCTACTTTTTGGTTGACTTTTTCAAGGACCCAAGATGCATCAACTTACAAAGTTTTATGATCATAGGCCTTAAAATGTCCAAATTATGCCTCTAAAATGCTTTGAAATCGAATGCCTGCAAATGTCACTGTGACCTACTTTCTAATAAATACGTTTTATGGCCCCAAGATGCATCATCTTACAAGATTTAATGATTCTAAACCTCTCAGTATTCAAATTAATGACCTTAATTGTTTTGAAAAAGATAAGCTATAAAATTCAAAAAGTAGGTCAAGGTAACCTACTTTTTAGTTGACGTACTCAGAGGACCCAAGATACATCAACTGACAAAGTTTGATGATCATACACCTTAAATTGTTCAAAATATGCCTCTAAATCATTTTGAAAAAGAATGGCCGCAAAATTTAAAAAGTAGGTCACCATGACCTACTTTTGAGTCAACATGATATGAGGTCCTTAGATGCATCAACTGACAAGATTTGATGATCCTAGTCCTTATAGTAAGCAAAATATCAACATTTTAATAAAATGTAATTTTTGGTCAACTTTGAAGTGACCTTGAGACCACGCCCTTTGCCCCAGGGTGATGCCTTGAACAATTTTTAATCTACACATATCCTCATCCTTTTGTGTAAGTTTGGTGATAATCTGCCCAGTGGTTCTTGAGAAGAAGATTTTTTAGCAACCGGTACTTTTGTTTCTATTTTCCTAATTATCTCCCCTTGTTTAAGGGTCACAACCCTAGTTTTAGTAAAAAAGGGAGCCCTTGAGCCAAGGATACCCTGTGACAAATTTGACAATAATTGGCCAAGGGGTTCTTAAGTTATGGCCCATATTCTAAAAAGTTTACTCACACCGCACAAATGGCCATAGCATTAGCTCTTTGAGCCTTTGGCTCAGAAGAGCTAAAAATGGACCAAATTGATAAATTCTCACCAAATTATGTATCAGTGCATATGCTAACATAAAAATATCTTGAACAATTTCTTTAGCACTAAGCACTAAATGCAAATTTAAGAAAAGAGGCCAAAGGTGAGGTCAAGGTCCAAAAATTTTGATGCAATTCAATAGCACTCACTAAAAATGCATTAGCATATAAGCTTTGATTAAAACTTTTGTTTCTTTAAAGCTGGGCTAGTCACAATTTTTTTTTTGAAAAATGAGGTTAAGGTTAAGGAAAAGTCAAGGTCAAATATGCATGTTCATGCAATTGAATAGCTTTCATTTATATGTATAAGCATACTATTTATGAGAAAAAAAAATTGAATGTTTTCTTTGCAACTTGGATAAACACAATTTTTTGGGCCCTGACCTTTCCTTTGATCTTGACCTCAGATTTCTTTCATAAGGTCAAGGCCAAAGGAAAGTTCAAGGCCAAAAAACGTTGCTCTTGCCAAAATGTTACAGCATATAAGGTTTGAAAAAAATATCTTGAATAGTTTCTTTGAAACTGAGATAAGCACAAATTTAAATAATGTGAGGTCAAGATCAATGGAAAAGTCAAGGTCAAAAAATGTTGAAGCAGTTGAATGGCTCTCATCAACATGTATCAGTATATGAAGTTTGATAAAAATATCTTGCATAGTTTCTTTGAAACTGAGATGAACACAATTTTTTTTTAAAAGTGAGGTCAACATAACAGGAAAGGTCAAAGTCAAAAGTGTTGATGAAGTTGAATAGCTCTCATCAATATGTATCAGCATATGAGGTTTGATTACACTATCTTGAATAGTTTCTTTAAAACTGGACTTTACATAATTTTTGATAAGTGAGGTCAAAGGAAAGGTCAAGGTCAAAAAATGTTGATGCAGTTAAATAGCTCTCATCAATATGTATCAGCATATGAAGTTTGATAAAAATTTCTTGAATACTTTCTTTTAAACTGAGCTAAATGCAAAGTGTGATGGAAGGACAGAAGACAGACACGACAAACACTATATGCCCCTTCCATATTCATGGTGGGGTATAAAAATTTATGCATGTAAGATATGATGAATGCATAAAAATGCTAATACTTAGACAGAATATAGGAATACAAACAGTTCAATGATGGAGATATGGTTTCCCTCCTTTTCACCAATCAGATATTGTACAAGTTCAAGTAAGCTTTATCAATCTCCATAATAATTGATATTCTACATTTCTATAAGAATTTGTACAACAGTGTATGATTTCAAATCTTTTTTTCCTGACATTTTGATAGCGAATTAAGTTAAACAGTACAATAAATGTGATGTCTATGTTGTAAAATAGAATAAAGCTCATTTGGTAATATTTAGAAATTTTATTGATATTTTTTTGTATAAAAATTTGAAGCATTTTCTCTCTTTAAAATACTAGTTCATTTTCTTCTTTTGTTTTTCTGAGCTATCCTCTTTTTTCTTGACAAACTTTTATGTTTTGTTGTGTATGCCTGAAAAACAAAACATTTTTTTTAATTAACTGGCCCTTCTTTACATATTATGAATTCAGTTAAATAGTACTTTATGTGAGGAAAAGCATTTACTACTCTAAAACCAAGAAAACCGAGAAGCTTTGTTTCCACAAAGTCTCTTTTACTGAATATAATTAGAGCTTACATTTACAAGATTCTGTCTATTTTCAAGCCATTTTTCTCTGATTGTTTCCAAATCCTCTTTCCTGCAAAACTCCTGAATGCCCTCTGATGTATAAAGAGATAAATAAAAATTTTCAAAAAAAAAAATGCAAACAAATACTGATTTAAACAAGAGCAAAATATGTGGTCAATTACATTAATAATTAGAATATCCCAATAATATAATAATAAAAAAAACATCTACTGTCTGCAATAGCAACATTCAAGATGTATGTACATGTCTATTAATGTCACCAAGAGGTAACAGAACAAGAGGGCCATGGACCATAAAGCTCACCAGAGTAACCTCCATGGACATGCTAATCTTGAGAAGAGGACATAATGAATTTTTCCCATATATTCCAAAATAAAATTCTGATCCCCAGTTGTGGCCCCACACTAATCCCAGGGAACACAATGTGAACAAACTTGAATCTGCACAACCTGAGAATTCTTGAATATTTAAATGTCTAATCTCTACCACCAGAGGATATTTGCATATTAATTATCATAGCCCTGTTTTGCTTGAGATGAGTATTTTAAAGAATAAAGAATTTTAAAGAATCTTTTCTTATATACCACCACCTTAAAATCTGATCCACTGTTGAGTCCTTCTCTTATCCTGGGCACATGATTTGATCAAATTAAAATTTACACAATGTCAGAAAGCTTTCATTATTTCTAAATTATCTCCCCTTGAAAGAGTTCACATAGTCCTTCATTTGAAGAAACTTGAATTCCTTTCACCCAAGAATGCTGTGTGGCAAGTTTAGTTGAATTTAGGCCATTGATTCCACAGAAGAAGTCAAAAATGTAAAAAAAAAAAAACAAGATGTGTTTGTGAAACACTATGCTCCCGTATGGCAGCTTATGTCGAAGATTAAAGTTTCTCAAATGCAAGTCAAAATCCAGGCCAAAAGATAAAAAATGTTGATACCCAAAGAAAGATCTTGTCTCGAGGAAAACACCTGTGGAATTTGAAAGACCTAGATACAACTGTTCGAAAGTTATGGTGAAGGTTAAAGTTTTTTAAATAAAAGTCAAACGTCAAGGTCAAGGTCAAAGTGGTTGGTATCCAAAGGAAGATCTCGTCACAAGGATTACATATGTGAAGTATGAAAGCCCTAGCACCAACCATTCAAAAGTTATGGCCAAGGTTAAAGTTTTTCAAAAGTAGGTCAAACTCCTAGGTCAAGGTCAAAGGGTCAAAGTGGTTGGTATCCAAAGGAAGGTCTTGTCACAAGGATAACATATGTGAAGTATGAAAGCCCTAGCATCAACCATTCAAAAGTTATGGCCAAGGTTAAAGTTTTCAAAAGTAGGTCAAACTCCTAGATCAAGGTCAAAAGGTCAAAGTCATTGGTATTCAAAGGAAGGTCTTGTCACAAGGATTACATATGTGAAGTATGAAAGCCCTAGCTCCAACCATTCAAAAGTTATGGCCAAGGTTAAAGTTTTTCAAAAGTAGGTCAAACTCCTAGGTCAAGGTCAAAAGGGTCAAAGTGGTTGATATCCAGAGGAAGGTCTTGTCACAAGGAATACACATGTGAAGTTTGAAACCCTAAGCACCAACTGTTCAAAAGTTATGGCCAAGGTTAAAGTTTTTCAAAAGTAGGTCAAAGTCCAAGGTCAAGGTCAAAAGGTCAAAGTGGTTGGTATCCAAAAGAAGGCCTTGTCACAAAGAATACACATGTGAAGTTTGAAACCCCAAGCTCCAACTGTTCAGAAGTTATGGCCAAGGTGAAAGTCTCATAAAATTTTGCAAAAGTGGGTCAAACTCCAAGGTCAAGGTCAAAAGATCAAATATGATGGTACCCAAAGAAAGGTCTTGTCACAAGGAATACACATGTGAAATATGAAAGTCATAGCTCCAACCAATCAAAAGTTATGGGCAAGGTTAAAGTTGACAACAGACAGACAGACAAACAGACAAACAAACAGACAAACAGACAGACAGGACAAAAAACAATATACCCCCGGGATCTTTCGATCCGGGGGCATAAAAATTAACAGACTGACAGAAGACGGACTACAGGAGATCGGAAAAGTTCACTTGAACCTTTGATTTCTGTAGTTAAATATCTTGTTTCAACGGTCAAAATTAGAACAAAATACAAGTAAGTGACCAAGCATTTTCTAAAAGGTCTTGTTACATGCTATACAAAATCCTAATGTCGGTAAACATGTATATAATATTATCAAAAACTAACATGCAATGCACAATGCTAAAAATCAAAGTTTTAGCTTTCCACTTTGATTATATGAGGGGAATTTATGAATAACAATTATACCACTTTGTAACAAAATAATTTTTCATCAGAAGAAATGATAATTGTAAAAACCTTTTATTCTTTCATCATCTTCAGTGAAGAAAAAGGTACTTTGGCTACTGGTAAACAAGTTGACTGGTACATTGGTCCTGCAGAGAAATTAATTATTTTTTAGTTCACATGCACCTTAAGCAAAGCAAGAATATACTGTAAGGCCATCTATGCTCCCAGCACAAAAAGGACTAAGTGAGTAAGGATGTACTGTTTATTAACTCTCGAATTAAATGCATGTAAATCAGTATTTTATCAAAATATTTTTTACTTGTTTTTGACAATTTGGAATAAACATGTCTCTAGTCTTCCCCAAAAAACAAATGTGATTAAATTTCTTGTTCAAAAATCCAAAATAACAACGTTCTTATAACGACTGGCATAGTCACATGTTATTACCATTTTGGGGTATAGTAGATATTTATGAAAAATTCTGTTTTTTTTATGTACAGACATACTCAGCTTCCTCGTCCGATGTCATATTTTCGTGGCTACTGTCAACATGCTGTTTCCATAGTAACTGCCCCGCCTTCTGACTGGAATTGGATTCGATCTGTTCTACTTCTGGAAGAGAATTGAAAAAAAATACTCAGATGGCATAAATGATTACTGCACAAAAATAGTTTTGTTAATGAAGAAAACAACTGTTCATTACTATCAAACAAAGGGAACATTTTTAGAGAAAACATGGCAATATACATGTACAATAATAGTGTACATACATTATCTATTTTCAGTTCCTATATCAATATTTAGCTGGTACAATGTATAGATAGTGCTTTTTATGAATTCTGGTCTATAGATTGATTAAATGCTAGACTAAAATAATGTTCACTGGACATGAGTGCTTTCCTGTTGGTTACCATCCTATTGTGAAAACTGAGTGTGGAGCTGTCAGAGACAAACTCACAGTTTAATACATGAAGATTTTTTTTTTCATAATACTCTCCACAAGATGTGTCTGTGAAAAAAAATGGACTGAATGGATCTTTCTATAAAATGCCTTTCACAAATTCCCTGAATATTTTTTTTTCTTGCAAGATCAAAATAAGCCCTTTTCTGACTTATCAGTCTTTTGTGAATTACTATAAATTACATATTTTCATGGGGTCAGATTTTCAATGTTCGAGGAAAAAATACTGCTTTGTGGGGATTTGATTTCATGGTTGAAGAGGTGTTGATTTGATATATTGGTATATTTGAAATTTGAAATTTTGTGGAGGACATGAATTCATGGATCACTTCATACCATGAGAAAGTTGAAAAGTAAACCTCCATGAAAATTAATGATTTCACAGCATATATCAGTGACTGTGTACCTGGCATTTCTTCATCACTGTCTGCAGTCTGCTGTTGTTGCCTCCCGAACACAGACAGGAGTGAGAACTGGGAGTCCACCACATCTGATGTTTTGTTTGAGAATGTCTCCTTGAAGGAATCTGAGGCCACCTGATAGAACCTCTCCTTTGTCACCTCTGGGACCTCCTCAATGGGCTCCTTGTGTCTGTCTGGATCTACAGCCTCAGTGTCCTCATCTGAGGAGAAGCTCGTTTTCCTATGAAGATTCATTGTTGAAAAGTTTCATTCTTGAATGCATCACAATTTAAAACATTTATGTAAATAATTTTTTTCCATCTGAAAGTGGAACTTTGAAATGATAAATTCTATTAGAAATTTACAATTAAAGACCTATATAATCAATCCCTGTTATCCCCAACTCAATGGGGGCCATTTCAAAACTTTAAGATATCCAAGTGTTCGAGATATCAAGGGTAAAATTCTTTAAAAAATATAAATGGTTGGGACTTCAAAATCTTTTCGACATATCCACGGTATTCAAGATATCAGTGTTCCAGATACCAAAGTTCAACTATATTAGTATACCAGTACATTTAACACTACAGTTAGTAAAATTTATCATAAAGAAATTATAATTCAGTATGCATCCCATTTTGAGCAATGGCAGACAAAAAGCAAAGAAAAGTGACTTTTGTTAAGTCAGCAATATAAAGAATAATTCTACCTCTGTACTGCTTTTATTTTCTTTTTCTTCATCTGTGGCTCCATTTCAAACTGTTTGTGATCTTCCTTGGTAGGGTCAAAATGAATGGCAGACACGTCTCTTCAATCAAAATGACATACAAAACTAGTGTTTTTATAAAATGACCCTATATTAGGGGGGAACAACATGCCTCCATCATGATACAATACGTATCATATAATTTTGTCTGAGTAAGGTTATTTTTGATGCATTTTGATAGAAGGAAACACATTCAATGTTGTTTCAAGTTTTGTTTCACCAAATCCAGTCACTTAATCTACGTGCAAATCGACTATAGAGAAATTGATTTGAATGAATTGAACCAAAAATGGAGATTTTGCACCGTGTATCAGACCGAGAAAAAATACCAGGGTGAATCGATACCATGGTGAACATTTTTCCCCTACCCTATATTATGTTTTAAATCAGACACAGCTTTTTCATTTGCACAATTCAAGTTCATAAATACATAAGTCAAATTTAATTCAAAGAAATACTGTAAACCAACTTTAATTCGCTTGCGAGAAATATTCGCGAGTTTCGCGACCTACCTTTACTCGTGAATATTACTAGGTGCAAACCATTTATTTTGTTTTGTATTTGTAAAGAATGTCTCCTCAGTCACGGAAATTAATTGTCGTGGATAGATTTTAAACCGACGAATTGCAAATAAAAGATGACGTGAATATTAGTTGTTTACAGTATGCCATCAAGAAAGTAAAATATAATTATGCTCACTCATTGAAGTGGTTAAATTTTTATCGTTTGAATAGAATGTTTTGGTCTTTCTTATAGAATTCCGATCATGACACACCTATTTCTTTATATACAAGAAAGCAATGCTCGTTGCAATGTTTAAAGGCACCCCACTCTCTGCGACCAATATATATATATATATATATATGTATTTATGTATTTTTCATGTTTATCAAAATTATCACAACACATGTATCAATCAAACAACTGTTTACCTGGTGTGTATGTAGACTGCCAATCTGATTGGCTATTGTATTTACAGAATACCTGTTTTACAGGTATTGGAATGATGCATGTGAAAGAATCTATGACAATTGAGGGCTCTCTCTCTCTCAGTGAAGACTCGTCTTTCCCTGCCCACTCTAACACTACTACATGTCATCTTCTTTTACTGCTTATATAGGTTTAATATGTCATCTTCTTTTATTGCTAACATCCGTTTATTTGTCTTTCTGGTTATTATACTTTCAAAAAAAGATGAAAATGCAGTTGGGAGAGCAGTTCTGTACCTACATCCTTGTTATTTATTTCATAAATTATTCGAGTTCGTTTGAGTTGACACAAATGAGAACCAACTTCTCCTTTCTAAAGAAATAAGTGTGTCATTATGTAATAACCAAAGCTAAAAATATTAATATTCCATTCAAACAGAAAATTTTACCACTTTAATGTGCATCATTGTATTTTTTTTTTTCAATGTCTTACTTGAACATGGTCTTCTTCTTCTGTACTTTCTTTAATGCCTTGGATCCTACCACTTCTTCCAAGATTTTTAATGCCCTGGACTTTTCATCATCATTCTCTGTTGGAGGCTTGAATCCTGCAGACAAAACACACTATGGAAATAACATTAAACTGGTAAGAAAATGCAAAATCTAAAAACATACAACATACTGCAAGTAAATATCTGTGATATTGAAAGAGTCTTCTATACAGTAACCTTAGTTATAGAGAACTCGCTTTTAAGGAAATCTTGGTTGTAAGGATTTTTTTTTTTAATCTCAAACGGGACTTTGCACTTTGTTCTTTTAATAATCATGGTTTTAAGGAAACAAAATTCAAAGTACCAATGACTTCTTCATAACCGAGTTTTACTTGTTCCCAAGTACAGATCTGTGATAATTTTCAATCAAACTGAATAATTAAATTCTGAATGTTTTGTCGTCCATGAATGCATGTATATCAATATCTTTACGTGCATCTAAAATGAGAAGGCTTTACATGTTAACATTTAAAATAAATAAGTTTAAAATTACTTTCATCTTCCTCGTCAGAGCTGCCATTTTTTTCCGAGTCAGTTTCATCTATAAATTTCTCATCCAGTTTGAATCTCTCATCATTCTTAAATCTGGATTGAAGCTTCATCAGCTGAAATTTTCATGACAGAAAATAAAACCTCAGTCTTTACCCCAAGATCATGAAACAGTCTTTAGATGTTTCTATGTAAATTCTACACCATTTCAGCACAAATTGCAGATTCTGACTTAAGCTTGCAATGTTTCATGATGATGATTTAAATAAAAAAGATAGAAAGTTGTTTCCTCATGCACTAGTACACATGTACCTAGCAGTTTAGAACTCAGGTAACCACATATGCAAGAGAACTGCTGTGGCTTATCAGTTTCTATCAGGGAGAATATTTCAAAAAAAAAAAATACTGAATTTACAGTGTAAAAAAAGGAAGAGGTAAACCTTTTTTCCTGCTTTTCCCTCAAATTCGGGCCGTATTCTGAACCTCTCTTTGTCTGAATCCTCATCTGATGCCTCCTCAGAGGAGCTGTCAAACAGGGCCGGCTTCTTCTCTCTCTCAGTCTACATTACAAACCACATTAAAAATAACATGTCCGTTTCATTGGAGAAAATTGTTAGGCAGAAAGTTATTCTTAAAATCAATAATTCTATTATACACCAGACTTGAGGTACTGTGACTTCAAACACAGCATATTTAAAAATATATATATTTTTTTATTTACTTGAAGCAAATATTTGAACCATTAACGTTCACATAAAGTAAATAAAGACATTCTTCAATAGTTGATCTTCCTGATATGAGTAATAATTGATGTATGGAGCTTACATTGGTTTTATTCGCTGTCTGAACTCTATCTCCCCCCTCTTCCATCTGCTTGTCTTCTGCATCACTGCTATCAGACTCAAACACTATCTTCTTGTTGGGTCTTTCTTCCTTTGAGTTCTAAGACAGATTTATAATCATGAATAACTATTATTTCTACTTTTTATTCATGTCAAGGAGACAATTTTGTTTCTTTAAAGAATATATGCTCATTTTTACCAGAAAATATTACAGCTAGGACCTATTAAAATATTAAATTTTGTATTCAAATATGCTTTTTCAAACAAGCAAATTAGAAAAATTAACTTCAATTGAAAACATTTGGAAAAAAAATTGACAAACATTTATTGAATAACTAATCAAATATTTTTTTTTTTAATTCAGCAAAGAATTATGGGTTTTCATAGTTATTACTGTAAATTCCTGAATATACCTGAGAAATTAATCATCATTTAATTTCGCAAGAAGCACCACTCGTGAAATAAAATAACTTGCTTTTATTTTTATGGTGCTAAAACCCATGTCAAATCTTTGATCCACCATCCACATGCCAATTAATGTTTTCATGATTTGACTTCTGAGAGCTATCTCACAACATTAAGTGCTCACATTAAACAAGGAATCTACAGTAATACTGCCCTACTTGACATTGCTATTATTCCGGCTCTAACCCCTCTGACAATGACTGACCAGTTTGAGGGCTTGCTGTATGGCTCTCTTCTTCATCTCTGCTTCCTTTGTCCTCTCCATCATGGACTCCACTCTCTTTCTATCTGAGGCCTTACTTCTCTGTTTAACATCCACATTAGCAGTCACTTCTGTTTCCTTTGTCTCCATCATGGACTCCACTCTCTTTCTATCCGAGGCCTGGCTCCTCTGTTTAATATCCACATCAGCAGTCACTTCTGATTCACACTTTTTCACTCCTTCTTCCAATGAATGACTTTGAACAAAATTCTCAGTAGCCTTCTTATTTTTTATTAATTTTCCATCCTGAGTCTTGGTTTCATTCTTTTCTATGGAATTTTTAGTGTTTTTAATAGAAGAATCTACCATGACAGTTCCTTTAGAAGGTGATGTGATTACCTTTTTTGTCTTTGTTTCTTTTTCTGTTGGAGAATCTTCCACATCATTTCTATTGCACATGCTCCCCTGGTTCTTGCCAACATCAGAACTGTACAGAGACGAAGTTCCTTTAAAAGGAGGTAAGACACACTTTGGTCCAGTTTGTCCTGATGAACTTTTAAATTTCTTTGCTATATTTTCAGTTCCTGCTGTATCTTCCTTGAGCCTATCATCTTCCCAGCTGCCTTCTGACGCACTTAAACTGAAAGTTTCCTCGTAACTGACCTGCACTGAATCATCATCAGAATTTGACACAGAATTATTTTGCACTGAATCATTGTTGGTACTGCGTTCAGACACAAGCTCAGTTTTCATTGTTCTCTTAGCTTTTATGTTTCCTGTCACAAGTAATATTTTCTGTTTGTCTGGTGAACTGTTCTTCAAAGAAGTCCCAGTTACTTCAAAATCAAGATTTCCTTCATTATTTGTCATGTCACTATTAAATTTCCTCTGATATTCCTTTTCAATTCTTTTTGCTAACCTCTCATAACCTACTGCACTTAAACTATCATCACTCTCATAATTAAAATTGCTAGACTCGCTTCTAGATTCTTCCACTGTTAATCCATCTGAAAATTCGTTAATTCCCTGTGTCACAGAGTAACTCGTGGATTGAATTGAAGTTTTCCCAGAATTCCTATTAGGTTGCTTGGCAACAATGACATCTGTGTCAGCAGATGAAACAGATTCCTTATCTGAATCATCTTCCATGAAATTCACAACACAACTTGAAGCACCTGCAGATTTCTCAGAATCATGAACAATTTTTGAAGAGTTATTTTTCTTGCTAGTAGTTTCTGTGAACCTTTCAGACAATTTAACATTTTTTGAACCTTTTTCAGTGTTTTTCTCTTTTGATGAACGTTCAGTCTCACTAGATGAAACTCTGCCTTTATCTTTCGTGACAGAATTTTTAATTGCTTCATAATCTGAATCAGAATCTCCATCTGCACATGCTCCAAGTTTTGCACTTCCTGTGCTTTCCTTCAGAGGAACTATCTCCAAATCGTCCTCCTCTCCAGTAACACCATTCAACCTCTGTGTTAGGTCCTCAGCAGAAACACTGGTCTGATGATATTTTCTGCCGGCAAACTTGGAGGTTGAGCGGACATCTCCGATTCGTTTCTTCATCTTCTCTGGATTTTTTTCCTTCAATGCCCAGGTTAGTTTCTTGGTATCACAGTTATCAAGTTCTTGCTCCTCCTCTTTTACCCTTTTGACATTGTGACAGAACTTGGAAGGATCTATAGTCATTATCTGATTTTTTTCATTAAGGGCTATTGAATTTATATGCAATATCTGAAAACATCTTTTTTAGTCCCCTGCTTTCATAAAAAGTGGGAAATATTAATTAATTTGGATCTGTTTGTCTGTCTGTCAATGCTGTCTATAAGGAAATCACAACCCCAATTGATTCTGAGGTAAAAGGGTCAAAAGTCAAGGTCTGCACAAACCTGTATTATTATTACAAAATATTTCTGGCTTATATCTCAAATGAATTTCTGTCCTTCAGCAGGGTACATAAATCCATTGAATTAGCTTGTTTTTCAGTGTTTTTCTCATGTACTCTACCTGCAAATTGATATAGAAATTCTTTTCCATTTATTCATGCAGTGATTTTGATTTATAGAGGTAAATTTTAGTTTACATATAATTTGCTTGGGAAAACACCATATGCAGTGGAGTTAGAATTAAGAGTTTTTTCCCCTTTAATAGCAATCTCCAACTATTTATAGGGAGAACCACCTGGTAGTTCAATGGTGACAAATTTCTGAAAGATGAAGGAAAATAGAGGAAATTCAAGCAAATTAAGTATAGGGTAAAATTTGATCACTGGTGAGGATGAAAATTTATAATTTATGTTTTATCTGTTATCCATGACCTCTTTACCACACCTGACCTTTGTCAGCACATTAAAAACACATTTATGTATTTTAATCATGTTGTCCATATATTAAATCTCAGGAAATCTATAAAAAAATTAAATACCGGGTGTCCCAGAATATATGATACCATTTCAAGATTCTGTAAAACCTAAGGTAATGAATATTGAATTACAACAAATGCATTATAAACATTACATACACTGTCCAATTTTATTCACATAATTTGACAGTCATTAAAAAGAAAACAATAAAATGAGTTCACTTTGAAAAATGCAATGGTTTTTAAATGATGCCCTATAAATGACATTCTATCTGTGTAATAATAATGTCTAGACATTGTGCGAGGTTCCTTAACTTGAGACAACAGTGCCTGTCTCGGTAGTAACTTCTTGATTTTCATCAGAGGTAAACCTTTTATATATGTTAAAGATTCTGGTTTGGGTTTAGCAGCAGTAACCTAAGACTAGGATTGATAATTACAGTTTCAAAATGAGGAAATCTAGCTCTTTCGATAATCCATTTTGATTGAAATTCCAGTTTTGTGCAAAAATTTGATGTATATTTGATATGCTGCAATTTCATAAGTGTGAGAATTTTTTTGGAATATTTTGTTGCTTAAAAATTGTACTTATTCTAATATTTTTAGAGACATATATCAAAGAAATTGGCCAAGTGATGTCATTGTGGCAGGTATTTCAAATGGTATCATATATTTTGGGACACCCTGTGTTATTTATTATACATATATTTTTTATGTATATTTTTATATATATTTATATATATATTTATTATATACATTTTTTTAGAAAAAATTATGAAAACTGAAAAATGACTTCAATATTTTCCCAGGGTGAAATTTTCATGGTTTGAAATAAGAAATATTGGTTGATGGGGATTTTATTTCATGGCTGATGAAGTGATGGTAGAGAAATGGTTCAAATTTTTAAATTTCATGAATTTTAAGATACATGTATGGGTCTCTCAACAAAAACAACAAAAATGAAATCCACAAAAAAAATAAGTGATTTCAATGTAGATTCTTCTTCAAGCTTAAATAGCCATTTGTGCTAAAGGTATAATGTTGGACCTCTTTATTTTTAAGTCAATGGGACCAAGAAAAAAACTCTTAGATATCCAAAGGTTCGAGATATTAAGGGTAAAATAATTAAAGAAAAAGTGCTTGGGACTTTCAAATCGCATCGACATATCCATGGTATTTGAGACATCCAGGTTCCACATACCACAGTTCAGCTGTATATTAACATTTTAACCTTTTTTGGTCTCAGTTTCATCATGTTTTTTTTTCCAAGTCCAAAAATATGTGATCTTAAAATGATTTTTTTTCCAAGTCCAAAAATATGTGATCTTAAAACATCATCTACTTTGTTCAATCAAGACTTTCAAAATATATTAATTAGATATTGCCATTGAATTATTGATTAAAATAAATCATTTGTCTTGATTTCATACTAGGTAATACAAAAGAAACAAGAGATGTTTGTGAAACACTTATGCCCCCCCCCCCCCCCCCAATAATGGAATTTTTCTAAGTCCAAGGGGCATAACTCTGTCAAAAGATGCTCAATCGTACCCAAAACAGAACTTGACCTAGATATTCTTATGATAAATCTGTATACCAAATTTCATTTCAGTATGTGCAACCTCTGCGAAGAAAATGAATGGAAACTGCAAATAATGGAATTTTCCTAAGTCCAAGGGGCATACCTCTGTCAAAAATTGCTCGATCGTACCCAAAATAAAACTTGACTAAAATATTCTTATGATAAATCTGTACACCAAATTTCATTTCAGTATGTGCAACCTCTGCAAAGAAAATTAACGGAAACTGTTGATGGACCGACAGACCGACCTACAGACAGCAGCAAAGCGATATGCCCTCCCTTCTTCGAAGGAGGGCATAAAAAATCAAGAAAGGATACTTTTTTGCTATGCTTGCTGGGAATGTGGACTATTGGTAATACTCTACCATACTTTCCAACCACCCAATTCTGTGTGAGATAAAAAAGTCAAGCAATTAAAAAATACCGGTACCATCTGCAATTTATAAAACATAATGTTTAGATTAGCATAATTCTGAGAAGTTTGGAAAAAAACGAAAATATATTTCTGTACATTACACCGTCCAAGAGAGGAAAACAACATTTTATCAAATGCACAACTTTAAAATTCACCTCCTCTCCCTGTATGCTGGTGCCTGGCACAGCTCCCCGCATATGAAAATTCTGAATCCCTTCCTGATTTCTCAGCGGATCATGGTGGATGGCCTTTTTGCATTTCACTTTAGGTTCAACAGCAAAACCATTTTCACGTTCCTTGCCAAGTCTGCATGAAATTGATTCAAGTATCGGTTATGCATACATATACAGATAAATTCTCAATCAAATCATTTAAACTAGAAATATATGTCCATTGGACATAAATGCCCAGCCAGTGATACATTAATTTTATTTTGAAAAATGAAAAGAATTGTTCCTTGCTTCTGTGGTCTGAGATAATACCCAGTAGGAAAATATGATGAAAGAAGGAAGAATAAGTTTCATTTTCTTTTCATATACAGAACTTGTACGTTTAGAAGTTGTGGTCTTTTGCAAAGTGGTATAGTTTAAATTCAATCTATCTATCCAACATCTAATGTCTCATTGTTTTAAGTTCATTCTCTCATATGTAGCATTTATCTATTATCTCTGGAGTATGTATGGTTGAAATGCTTTAAAATGACACAGTTGAACTGCTTTAACCAATTTATATCAATGTAATCCAGTTTGATGAAAATAACTAAAACATATTTCCTAAACCAGGATAACTGCAAAAAATAGAATAGAATGTCAAGGTTATAGGAGAGTTAAGGTTAGAAAAAATAATGACACAGTTGCATTGCTTTTGTCTCCTTTACAATACCTTCTTGCATGAATATTCTTTGACAGACCCAATTCAATGTGTTGTGTTTTATTAGTCCCCTACCGGTGAAACCGGAGGGGACTATAGGTTTCCTCTGAGTCTGTCCGTCCGTCTGTCCGTCCGTCTGTCTGTCTGTCTGTCTGTCTGTCCGTCTGTCTGTCTGTCTGTCCCTCTGTCTGTCTGTCAGTCTGTCCCACTTGGTTTTCCGCACTTTTTTCCTAAACGCTTGCAGATATTGAGCTGATTTTTGGTATGTGAGTGTATCTTGATGAGTTACAGACCAAGTTTGCATTTCGTTCCGCTTCATTGATTTTTGACGGAATTACGGCCTTTTCAATTTTTACGGGTTTTCCGCAATTTTCTTCTAAACGCCTGTAGATATTGAGCTGATTTTTGGTATGTGGCTTTACCTTCATTAGTTATAGGTCAAGTTTGCATTTCGTCCCGCTTCATTAATTTTTGACGGAATTATGGCATTTTCAATTCTTAACAGGAACAGAACCAGATTACACCTGCCGGTAGGGGACTAGTATTGCTCATGCAATACTCTCAGAATGCTTGTTATAATTGTTACCTTTTTAAAAAATCCTCTTTGGCTAATTGTAGCTTCAGCTGTGAACCCCTCCACTTTGTCTTGTTGTAAACACTGAAACCTAAAATGAATTTTCTACAATAACATAATGCACATACATTGTTTTAGAAAATTGTATACATGAATCAGCTGAATAACATTTGTTATGTAAACATTTATGCAAATTTATCTAATTACTTCCTAAAGATTATATTAAAAATACAGGTAAAACATTAAAATCACTGCCAAAAACATCGCAATAAATAAATTGCTTTTGTCCAAGATTCCAGGTTCCTGTATGAAACAATAAATTACTTACATTTGGACAAGTTTTCCTCACTGATGTTCAAATTCACATATGCAAAAATCTTTTCAGAAGAATCTTCTATAAAATAAGAATGGCAAATACATACCCAGTACTTATATATATATCCATCATGCACTATAATCTAGCATTTTTATCTTTACTGCATATGCAGCCAAAGCAAACAAGTGCCATGCATTTCATATTTAGCACTTCTTCAAATACTGGATGAAATTTATACAGAAAAAATAAAATATTTAAAAAATAACAATTTTTGTCACAATAAATTGTATTAAAAAAAAAAAAAAGAGAGAGATGTGATCCACATTCAAGTGAGAAATTACAATCAGTAATCCACAGGGATTTTGCACATTTAAATGCAGGTAAAGATTTAAAACACGTCTATACATTAATATGAGGAAAGATAAAGTTATGGTAAGCTCATTTTAATTCTTTCAATTCCTTTTTTTCCTTTCATTTTCTTTTTTTCCAATGTACACAAAAATATAAATTTAATTATACAAATTTGCATCTAAAACCTTTATTTTGGTTTGTCATACATGTTTTCTATTAGGATTGTGACATCTTTTTTTCAAAACACACACAAAAAATATTTCAAGGCAAAGAATGAATATTTTCATTCTAATAAACATCCTTTAAACCTTTCCTTATGCTCCAGAAATAGTTTTCCTACTGTAACTTACCTCCATTCTTTTTTCTTTTGATTTCCACCTCTGTCACTTCTCCAAAGCGACTGAATCTGTCCCTTATTTCCTCTTCTGTTACCCCAGGAAATAAACCCCCAACAAACACTCTCTTCATCCTCTGTGGACAAAAAACCTTGAAATTAGAACATTTCATGTATTTTATTGTTTATTTTCTATCATGTCCATAATACAAAGACAATACATGCTTATTGCAGGTTCACAGGAGATAGTTACAATCTAATTCATTCATTTTTATACATTTATTTGAATCTCATCACTATTTTACAATGATACGAAGAGATTTAATGAAAACATAATCTACACAAACTAATACGCATTAGCACTATAGCTTAATCAAGATGTATCATATCCTATTTAACAGTTTCACAAACAAAAAAGATTGACATAACGTTAGTGTGCATTTTTTCATACACAAAACAAACCTTTAGTAATATAATGTGCTCCTCAAATCATGACAAATGCGCTTTCGATCCTCGATAGCCCATCAGCCCCATGCCTAGATCGTTGAACATCAACTGGAAGTAGTGTGATGCATGATAATGAAGGAATGAACACAAAAGGAAATCATAATTCCGGGAAAATGTATTTGACTTTCTCGATTTAGAGTTCTTTTTATCTGACTGTGTATGCAGTTATAGGGATTTGCCCTTAAATAAAAAATAAATCTTAATAAAATAAAAATAAATTTTAATAAAATTAAAACTTAAATTAAATTTAAATTATATATTAATGAAATAAACAGAAATCCATAGTAAATGACACAATTTGAAATAGATTAACTTATGTCTGAGGTCACGCCAACAGACAGTATAAGATTAGTCAGACCTGGACAAGTTGTTAGCGTATTCATGTAGCTTGTCACCTAGAAATTCAGGAGTAAGAAGAAAAAGTAAACTGTTAAGCAGGAAGCAATTTCATTGGGGGGGGGGGGGGGCACCAAAAATTTTCATTGAGGCGGGGGGGGGGGGGGGGGCACTACCGATACCAAGCAAAAATTCCTTGACAAGCTAAAAAAAATCTTCAGACGTTATTATTGAGGGGGAATATCTATAGTGTACTATATTTATTGGCAAAATTAGAGGAGGGGGAGGGGCACGGCCAGTACCAGGGAACAATATTTGGAATTCCATATACATGTACATGTATATATGACCAACTTAGCCAAACCCGGGGCCTGCACCCTGGGAGATGAATTTATAAATTTGGTAGAGGGCTTATAGTGTTACAGAGGTCTTAAAGAAGTCAACAGCTCATACACAAGTCTGAGAAATCAACTGCTTGCAAGACAGTTGTCTCTGAGAGAAGGTAATTTACCTAGTGATGCATCAGTGTTAAAAAAAATCAACAGTTTACGATGCAGCGTTTACGAATTTCAGCAGCTTGTAAGGCAACAAAGTCCGAGAAGTCAACAATGTGTGCTTCAGAAGTTTCAGAGAAGAAGTTAATAGCCTGCATTAAAGATACCTTTATAAGATAATGACAATGGATAAAATTTGATATTGCTTTCAATTGACGCCACATAAGTGTAACCGGAAAGGAGGAAATATATGGCTGGACCGATAATTGAACCTGGGACCCCTGCATCACTAGTCAGGTGCTCTACCAACTGAGCTACCCAGGCCGATATCCACCGCCCAAACCTTTATATTCCTCCCTTCTTAAATTGTCTTCTACCTCCAAGATACAACCTCGGTTCTCAGTGCCCAATGAGAAGTACAATCTGCTTAATTGCATAGAACGAGATATGGATGTGATTGACGGGGAAATTTTATATTTTTCATAAATTATAAGCTCTTACATTTTTTTTTAATTAAAGGGGAGGGGGCGGGGCTTCAGGCGCCTGTGGTTGCACTTGCACGGCTTTCAACGTTTGTGACGTCAAAACAAAAATCATCCTTTTTGACCTTAGATACCCATCTGTGTTGTTTTTAATGCCATAGCTTTCCACACACTCATGTGGAATGTTCATTAATATATTTAAAAGAGCCATCTGGCAAACATTAGAGTCCACACTCTGTGATAATCGATCTTTCATTATCTTCTCAACAAAAGTGGCTCTTCGTAGCCAGTCTGGTTAACCTTGTGTCATCATAACATAATCCTTGGTCCATTCTGGAACCTTTCTTTGTCTTGCCGACTTCCGCGGAGTAGGAACTGAGGTATCTTGAAATGGTTCACCTTCATTTATGGAAGGCTGGTTATCATCTACTTCTTCAGCATCTTCTTCTTCAACTATGTCTTCACCTTTGAACAGTCTGATTCGCAGGCTCCTGCTTCTGAAGAGCGTCCTCTTCTGAACCAGTTGCTGAAGCTTCTCCGGTCGAAGACAAGTCGTCACCTTCTTGACTGGAGGTCTCTGTTACTAGTAAATTCTTGGACACTATATGGTTACCTATAAATGGGAATTCACTGTCAGAATCTGAAATAAAAAGAGAATCATTTGTATTAATATTTACAGTTTCTTCTCTATTCTCTGCCTTCCTTCCTTGCCTAGGTTTGGGTACTGGAGGAAAAGAGGATGTAAACTTGGATCCTATTGGTAATAATAGGTTACGATGTAAGACTCTGCATCGTCCTTCGCCAACCTCTCGCCTCACCTTGAAAACAGGAATGTTCTTGTTCGGTTGGGATAGAATCTCATATGGCACATCTTCCAAACTGTCCGCAATCTTTTAGTTTGTCTAGTCCAGGGATGCCAAATGGTGTCAAATTTACACTGACATATCCAATGTAGGGCATAAGTTGTCCATCTGCACATTCTACCTTTGTGGCCTCTTCTATAGAATGTAGCTCTACATCTCTACTTCTTTCATAATAGAAGGATTCACTAATTGTCGAGACTGTAGCTCCGGAGTCTATAAGTGCTGTACATGATATATTATTGATGGACACTCTTATTTCATTTGATGATCCAATTATTGGAACTTTGGGACTCCTTGTTCTCTTGCCAACCCCTTGTCCCCAGACGTTGGCTTCTTGGAGTTTAAATGCGCCCTTCTATGATCCATTCGTACACGACATCCAATGGCTATATGACCCTTCTGCCCACATTTATAACACGTAGGAACTTCATACTCATTCCTATACCTAGGTGTGTCTGAAACAACATCTGAATGTGGCACCCTAACTGCCTGAGTGGAATTTCCTCTATAGTTTCCCTCGTTTTTAACTGCTCGTATCAATATTCCATCCTTTATCTTTAGTTTTGAAAAATTCCGATGAAAAATAAGGTCATTTTCAGTCTGGAGCTAGTTCTTACTAGGTTTTACTCCTGTGAGGACTTGCTGTTTCCAATGAGATAGTATTGTCATCATCTTGCAATGCAACAATATCAAAATGCTCTCCAGGTTCACTGACAGGTTGCATAAACAAGCATATCTCTTCATCTACACATAATGTCTCTGCATAAGGTTGACCTATCTGGCATATGGCTTTGATGGACTCTGAAGAAATTGTATCAGTTTCCTTCAGTCTGAATAAACTGTCAGCATCAGTGTTGGTTTTTCCAGGTACCAGTCATGAATTACATCTCCTTGGAATACCATGGTGTAATCTGCTTCCAGTTCTCTCAGTTTACTGAGCAGGCTCTGTCACTGTGTCCCAACGTGGGCGCCAAATTGTACCAGTGGGTCGTGTATAAACAACAATCACGCCTCTGTCAGGGTTCAGCACCATCATATCATATCACATCAATTCAATTCTATCAATTCATCTGCTTTATTTAGATACATCTTGTCTATTATATATGATTACCAATATGTTATCTATGAGAGCTAGATGTATGTATAAATGATGAATTGATAGAATTGAATTGATGCGATATAATATTGTTGTTGTATTAAATTACAGGGCTATTTTCTTGTTTTCCATTGATCACTGTGTCTCTAATAAAATTAGAGCTGAACCCTGACAGAGGCGTGATTGTTGTTTATACACGACCCACTGTTACAATTTGGCTAGATAGAAAGATAGACAGATAGATAGATATCTGAAGTAAATAAACGATATTCAATGCTTTGTAGTTTTACATAGAATTTATTTCACACGTGGGCGTCGACTCCTGAAAATATCTCCAAAAAATAAAACTGTCTCGTGAAAGATTCCATATTCAGCTACAAAGCATTGAATTTTCTGTTTATTACGTTTTCTTTGATTTTCCCACGTACCTTTAGATCGTTTTAATCTGAGTTCTGACTGACCAATCTGGGGGCATAAAAAAAAAATAAAGGTATGGAACACTTCACAAAGAGTTTCCACTTTCGCCAATGAAATATGAATAAATCAAATAATTTAAAATTATACACTTTCTATTCATATATCTTCACATAAAAACAATCTACATTACTACCAAAGTTCATTCTGCAATTCCATATACTTCCTAAGATATCCTGAAATCAATTCCAAAATTGACCTATCTTTCTTTACTCGAAACTTGCTTGGGCCTCTAATTGTAAAGCGGGAACGAGGGGTCGAATTTTTTTTTATACCCCCCTCCCCTCCATTTTGTTAGTCGAATAAAGCGATCCAAAGGTCTGTGGATTTTCCCTTTGCCTCTAGCTGTCTTTTCGTAGCACAGTGACGTGATAGTTGACCCGTTGTAGAGTCATAGCAAAGCGATAGTGATGTTGAAAATTTTAAACAACATATATTTGGAGGAACTTCAGCAGTTTTAGTCTCTCTCTTCTTACCGGTATCTTATAACAGGCTAGGGAGTACCACGTATTTTTCATAACACTAGTACATGTACTCTTCGTGAAGGGAAGGAAAATCTCGAGTTTTGATGCACTTTTGATATTTTTCAGAGTGAAAAAAAATATCATCTTGATATTTTTTCACAGTGTGACAAGTATAACTTTTATTCAGTACATAAATTACAGTATTACACTGTTGAAAATGTAATAAAAGTTGTAAATCAACTTACAATGTAGGTCAATCTATCCTGAGACAACATAAATTACTTTCTTTTTTATAATTCCGTCTTTTCTTTATTTATTTTTCTCTTCTCTTTCTCAGAACTACATAAAATATTGAAATTAAATTTTAAAAAAAAATCTTCAAGATGATCTGTCAAGTGCCTCAATTCTGATTGCTTTGTTCTATCTCTTCTTTAGACATCTTTTTCAGAGCAACAGTCTGGCTAGTGGAGTCACTTTCAATAACACCTTCCATCTTTGAGAAATCTATTGACAGCCTAAAAGGTTAAAATTGAATAAAAATTTTTTTTTAAAAATCCAGTATATTTAGTCATGTTTTAAAAAAGTAGAACAAACTATGTAACAAAGAAACTTCAGGAACATACGGTTTAAAATGAATGTATTAAACATACATTTTATCACTGAATAAAACATCATATTTCCCCAATTTTGCTGCCCTGGTTTAAATAAAGGGTGTATCTGATCTTTACCCCATTATCCCAGCCAGTTCAGAATTTAACATGATAGATTAAGCCCTCTCCATTTCCTTAAGAAAAAGTTTATCCCCAGTTGGAACATTTCTGTGCACGTCTCCTTAAAGCAAATCCACTTTCAGCATGGTATAACACAGCATAAAAATTACTTAATTGTTCTATGACATCAATTATACATGTAATAAATCTCAGTATTCAAAACAATACTTACTTTTTCTCTCCAAAAGTGGTGGAATAGTTTTTGAATTTCAAGTATCTCTCATATGCTTTCTTATACTTCATCAAATTTAGATGAATGATTCTACTTTCCTCTGTTGTAAACTCATTCCAGTTTCCAGAGGCATTTTCATCACCAATGGGCTTCCACTGGTATGGCAAAGTGCTTTCTACAGACTTGGCTATGGAGGCTGCTGTCTCTCCAAGGGGTTTTTTGACAAGGCCTGTTGTAACTTGTTTAATTGTTTTCTTGTTATCTGCATTTTGGTTATCTGTAACAGCTGATTTCAAAAGGACTTTGAAAACATCTTCTTTCTTGACATAATTCATATTGATGCCGTATTTCCATAACAGACTTCTTGGCTGCACATCTAACAGGTTATGAGAAAATTTACAAAACGGATAGTATCTACAAGTCTCGGCAACGTAGGTGCAAACATGTAGATAAGGGCAAGTCTCAGTGTTACGACATCCCAGAGAACTATTGTAATAGCGGCATATACCCGGTACGGTCACTCCTTTCCTGTTCACCAATGCTCTAAGCAAGGAATTCACCTGTTCGGGATACAAATACTGCATGAAGTGGGACTCGAGCACTCTCTGATTGTGAGGGGTCTCGTAGTCATGGCCAAATTTACAATTCCAAATTTCACAGGCATTTAAAACAAAAAATTTGCAGAGGTGAAGTTCATTGCAATCTCCCTTACAGTATCCACCTGTGTGAGGAAGACAGATTTCTAAATTCACCAGCAATCCGACTTCAACTGACACCACCGATGTCTCCGAATTGTTGAAATAAAATACATCTTTAAAACGTTTCAAGAACTCGACAAAAGCTTCAGTGTCATTGAAACCAGAGGGAAATGGTTCCATGTTGACTTTATCTTGCAAGTCCTCTGCATCCAACTTATAATTATTGTCCGCAAGAATACGCACAATCAAGGCTGCCATGTGTCTATCCTCTTGAGATGTGGGTTCCTTTATTTCTTGGACATTGCTGCTAGCATCTGCATTTTTCTGAATCTCTTCCCGTACTGTTGATGGGTTTGAGACTTCTGCTTGATTTCCATCAGGATTAGAACTATTTTCCACCTCTTGATGGCTGATATTTAAGCTGTTGTCTTCATTCTCTGGCATTTCAGTTTGTTCTCCAGAGTAGCTATATCCTCCATCCAAAGTTTGACCAGCACTGACAAAACTGGAAGAATAACCTGTGTATTGCTTCAATTTCTCTATGCGAGCTTTTTCTCTTGCTTTCTTTCGCCTTTTTGGATTTAACCTTTTTGTCTCTGGTTTTGGTACCTTATAGAGCATGACATCGTCCTGTTTGGAATTCGTAGTAAATCCAATGTCAGGCCAATGGAAGTTATGAAAGGCACGATCTGACTGCATTTTTGATTCCTGAAAATCAAACAAAACCATTATTGACATAAGTAGCAGATAAAAGCTGTGACCTGCCAGCAACAGGTTTATTTTCTAACAAAAGGTTTAAGGGCCTTAATGGTCACCTGAGTATCTTACAACTCTGTAAAGGATTCACAGAATGGCAATTTATTCAGTATATAACAAATTAAAATTTCCCCACATGATCAAATGAGCCCTGTCCAGGACCAGAGCCCTTGAGTTTCCCAAAGTTGGAAGAGGCACCCTTGCTCATCAAATATGCACTTAGTTTTTCTGCTAATTACCATGAACAGAGAGACAGATTTTCCAGAATTAATTCATTTTCAATATATATTCAAAAGGGCCCACCCTAACACCAGAACCCATGAATTTCACAATTCTGATAGAGGGCTAAATGCTCATCATATTCATGCCAATATTTAGACTGCTTAATGTCCAGGAGTAAAGAATTATTTTATAACATTTTTGAGGATTGCATGCACTATAAATCACTTTAATTGGAGAACTTTATTTTCGCATAATTACGCGAGATAGTGTGCATGCGAAAATTTTATTCTCGCATATATTAGTATTCCTTAAGAATATTAAGATTATACAGTCTACGACCAATAAACAATTTGCGATAATTTTATTTCGCTAATGAGTTAATGACTATCTCAAATAAGGTGTAATGAAAATTTAGTGATCTTCAGTATTTTGTGGTTTTGACCCCATCCCTTGGAGAGAAAGGGGAGGGGGAGGGGGGGGTGGTTGGGTTGAGATCATAAAATTCACAATTTTTTGGCCCATAGATACTATATGCCAAAGTTGGTTGAAATTGGTTCAGTCTTTCCAGAAAAGCTAAAAATTTTCAAATGTCAATGAACAACAGAATACACACTCATGACAGATGAAAACAGATACATGTAGCAATAAGCAGGGTTGTCCCTAAGAATTAAAATAGCAGGGGACATTAAACAAGAGGCCCATGGGCCACATCACTCACCTGAGTACTCTGGCTAGGAAAAAAGCAAAAAAAGCAAAAATCAGTTCAGTATTGAAAAGCTTAAATGCATAAGTGGTCCCGACCTATCCCTAAAAGGGGGGGGGGGTATGATTTGAACGAAAATTGAATCTACAATAACTAAGGATGCTTACATATTTCTATGACTAATTGTGGCTTTTTTCCCTGCAAGTTTAAACTTCCATTGTGGCCCCACCCTACCCCCAGGGGTCATGATTTGAACAAACTTGAATCTACACCACCTGAGGATGCTTCCATATAAATATGACCATCATGGCTTTATTGTTCTTGAGAAGAAGATTTTTAAAGATTTTTCCTATATACATGTACATGTACTCCTATGTTAAACTTTGATTGTCCATTGTGACCCCACTCTACCCCCAGGGGTCATGATTTGAACAGACTTGAATCTACACCACCTGAGGATGCTTTCACATAAATATGTCCAATCATGGCTTAGTTGTTCCTGAGAAGAAGATTTTTAAAGATTTTTCCTATATATTCCCATGCAAAACTTTGATTGTCCATTGTGGCCCCACCCTACCCTCGGGGGTCATGATTTGAACAAATTTGAATCAACACTACCTGACAATGATTCCACATGAGTTTCATTTTTCCTGGCCCATTGGTTCTTGAGAAGAAGATTTTTAAAAGATGCCATTAATTTTTCACTATTTTGTTATTATCTCCCCTTGGAAGAGGGTGTGGCCTTTCATTTGAACAAATTTGAATCCCTTTCACCCAAGGATACCCTGTGTTAAGTTTGGTTGAAATTGGCCCAGTGGTTCTGGAAAAGAAGATGAAATTGTGAAAAGTTAGCTACAATGACGAGGACCACAACGACAGACAAAGGACAAATTTTGATCAGAAAAGCTCACTTGAGCCTTCGGTTCAGGTGAGCTAGAAAGTAGAAGTGGATCTCGAGTTCCTCCTTTAACAGAGGAATGAGAGGGAATACCAGAGTAACTGGTATATTACGTCATTATAAGTGGGGAAATTCCTCGGCCCACGCGTCTTAGGGACAACCCTGAATAGGGAAACTGAGTGACTCAGGTGGTGACCTAAAACTGTGAGGGACTCTGCATCTATCTTTATTCTTTTATTGACTGGGTTCAAGGGCAACGTGTTTGGTTTGCGGGATCAACAAAATCCATTTTGCCCAAGAACACAGTCAATAAATGTTTACCGGTAGTTATCATATCTTTTATTTTTTTTATTTTTACATATCTTGCACTGGTTTTTGTGTTTGCAATAATTGATTTAAATTCCGTTTACCCGCACTGTGGATTTAACCTGGTTAATTTTCTAACTCTGAAACCTTCAAATGCAAATATTAAAATAAAGCAGATCCAGCCTACAGTGTAACGTAAAAAATGTCACAGTGATTTACAGGTCCAATATCTTACTCACTGGTCAAATATCAATTATTATTTTGAACTGCTCAGTATACATGTAACATTGGAAATGTTAGACTTTTATTAAGTTATACATTTATGTACATGTAGGAAACATTTTCAAAGGCAAATGAAAAGTACTGGTAAACTTTAGTTTTTGGTTTATAATAATCAATCTGAACCTGTCAAATTAGTATTCCTAGTATGTGGTAAGGGATTTGATCATATTTGCAAGCCAAAGATTTTTGACCCACTCCTCTATTGAAGTTTGTTGGGAGTGGAGTGAATCAAAAACCCTTGGCATGTGAAAATCATAAATGGGATTTGATATCTATGCTGAAAGTTCATGACCATCCCTGCTCTTGTATGAGTATTTCATATAATAAATTCATTACTAGTACCAGTCTGAAAATAAAGAATTTAATGAAGTACTGGTAAATTCTTTTAAAGAGGTGTTTTGGAAAGAAGGTTTTTGTGTGAAAAGAAAGTAGCTGCAGAATCGTAGCTCTATGAAAAAAAAATATTGACGGAATGGAGAGCTACAGTGCCACCCATAGAAAAATTTGTATATTTATTGGGCAGAAAAAATTAAGCTCTAGTTCCAGCTAAAAAAGAAAGGTGTTTCAGATTTTCAGTCCCTAGCTGGAAGTTGTTGAATTTGCTGTCAAAACAAAAAATAATTTTGAGCGTTTGGTGATTTTGGTGAACATTAAAACTTTATTGAGGATCTAGTTGAAAAATTGAATGCATAGTACATGTAATAACAAGCATTTCTTAAGTAAAAAGTCCCCAGGAGGGAGAAGGCTTCATCCCCACTCAAAGGAAATTAAAATGGTCGGATGTTTTGAAAATGGTTGAGAGACTCCCTCTTTATTTTCTTCCTGCTGAGTGCTCATGTCACAATGAACTGAGTGGTAGGTTAAATAAGTACCATCAAGCTCATCCCCACCTAACCCCCCAAACCCCTTATTTGATAAATGGTCTTAACAACCTGATAACTTCAAAATAATCTAGATCCTTCCCCCCCCCCCCAAAAAAAAACAATGTATAATCTTGTCGCCAAATGTCACGATGCATTGATTATAAAGTTAGGCAAGTGCTCATATAACAGGGGTCATCCCTAGCCCCTCATTTTACACTTGTTCAAATATCTTTAAAACAATTGAATTCCCCACACCTATGCAAAGATACACAGCATATTATGTTGAACATGTGCCCCTGAGGTCATTCCCAACCCCACATATTAGAAATGGTCATGTATCTTGAAAATATTTGAGATCCCAACCCCATGCCATATGTATTTTCTTACTGCTCATTAAAGAGTAGGTTAAGCAGGTGCCCCAGGGTCTTCCCTCAACCCCTCTTTTAATTGATCGATATATCTTTAAAAGTTCTATTTTACTTATTAAGGTATGGTTGAATTGTCACTTAATTGATCTTAACTAATGTGGGATCAGATAAAGGTTTGAAGGTTGTATTACACCCAGGTGATCATTCAGGCTCATGGGCATTGTTGTAGAAAATCAGCATTTATGGCCCCTAGTTGATCCCCTGGATGAAAATGAAAATTCAGAAAGCTTTTTGCATATCTACAGGACATTACTGATCATATTCCAAAAGATGATTAGGCTACTTCATAAGATGTAGTAGAAGTTCTAAGAACCAGGTTTTTGTAGAAAAACATCATTTTTAGACCCCTTATTTGCCCCCAGGATGGAAATGAATATTCTGAAACCTTATTGCACATTTATAGGACACCATCAATCATATCCCAAAAGATGATATGGCTAGTGTAAAATGTTAGAGTTCTTGGATTGATGGAACTAGGATTTTGTAAAAAAAAAAAATGTTGTTTTATACACACAAACACACACCCAACCGGCCCCAAGGAAGAAAATGAAATCTCCAGAACCTTATTGTACATCTATGGAACAACACCAATCATATTCCAAAAGATGATTTAGCTACTGGGTACATGTATATGTAAGAGGAGTTTGGGGAACCAGGTTTTTCTGGGGAAAAAAACATCATTTTTCAACGCCAAATGGCTCCCAGGATTTAAATGAAAATTCCAAAACCTTACTGCACTTCTACAAGACAACATCATTCATGTTCCAAAAAAAATGAATAGACTACTTCTTAAAATGTAAAAGGAGTTTGAGTGAGAAGATATTGCAAGAAACAGATGGACAAGGATAACAACAATATACCCAAACTTAGTGTCAGTATAAAAATAAAAATCAGAACTCATGTGAAAAAATAAACATGAAGTTAATTAAAATGTTGTCAGGGGACATCAACAACTCTAGCAATATATATATAGGATCAAACAACAAGTGAGTACTTGAAGAACCCTGTTTATAGACATAATTATGTAATGGAAAGACTTGAAAACAGGTTTTCTGTAACATAAAAGTACAGTTGCTCAGCCTCAAAATCCTTTTTGTCAGAGGTCACATGTACATGGGCCATATAAGATCTTCCTATAATAAATGCTCTTAAGAAAGACAATTTTATAAACAAGCATCAACCAATAGTATTTTTAGCTGATTACATAATAATGGACAGAATGATGAAGCATTTAACTTCATAATGCAACA